GCTAACTTAACCCTGCGTCTACGTCTTCAACATCAAACCAACAACAGGCCATGTGGGGCTAATGCGAGGCTAGCTGGGGACGGGGTTCATTTCACTGCTGGGCGATTACGTAAGCGCCCACTGGCTGCTGTTAAGCCTTTTATAAGATGCCAAGGATTGCTTCTACGGTAGCAGCAGATGAAGGTACTTCAGTAAAATGCAAAATGGCGTGAAATGAAGGACTATGAATTCCTTTATAGTGCAATAAAGTTACAGGTGGTTTATTTAAATGCTCTAGCAGCTGGCTTGCTTTCCTCTTGGGCCTATTTACTTCAACAGACACTAACACCAACCCCTAGAGGCTTTCAACTATTTATTAAAATGCCATTTAGGCCAAAGACACCGTTGCACAATAAACCTCCAGCAGCACTTTGACCTCCCAATCCGGATAATCTTTTCACCGCGGATTAAGCGAAACTCGCAACACTTGTCTGCCTAACAGATGTTTATTTGGGGGAAAAGTTGTAATCCTCCCGTGTTTTTGTTTTTCACCCCATGACTCATTTGTTGTGTCGCGCGCAAACCTCCAACATACAGTTCTTAGTGCTCACTGCCTTTGCTGTCTTTGATGAGCCGTCGTTCAAAGGAAGATGAAAGAAATATTTGCTTTCTGTGTTGCGGAGAATCATGGGAGGTTGTCACAGCTGAGTGCTTTCACAGTTAAATGTGAGACGAAGATGTTCATTGCTTTTATGGGTAAGCCTTCATAAGAAAGAATAATTTAGTTGAATCTTGTGTAATTTCCATGAAATATGTTCAACAGACCAGGTTTTTCACACAGGTGCAATATGCAACCACCAACATCAAACAGTTCTTGCCACATTAAAGCAGCCACCACAAAAATGTAAGATTTATGACTTTGCTGATTTCTTGTTTTTCATTACTTCTGCAGAGATGATGAGTCATAATCTGCAATGGTTAATCCATGCAAGACACAAATATGTTCTTGGATGGTTTAATACAGCAATGCAGAGAGAACAAAGGAGTCTTTGCTAAGCAGTTGTGGAATTTATTAAGACTGGGCAATGATAGTGAGGCTTTTTGGGCAGATATGATGATACGGAAAGGCAGAGGATCTGTTGTAGCATGTAATGCAGAGAGTCTGTGCCTGTCAATATGTTGGGAATAATATGGTTGTACTGATCATTAAAGTTACTGTAGCAGCACATTGAGCAAGTCTATCGTGTGTTTGATATGTGGCGGTACTTAAGCAGCTCTTTACTGTTCTTTATAACACACATCGCTTGTTTCAAAGAAATAACAACTTGTTCCCAACTCACATGTGACTGAGATAACAATGAAATGCAAGGGAGACTAACGGCCCGTCCACACTACAGCTTCAAAAACGGTTTCCGACGCGTCTGCCCATTCACTTTGAATGGGGTGACGTCACGTTGCCTCGCTTTTCGCCAAACTGAATTGTGGGTAGCAGAGCGGAGCTTTCCTGGCGTTTCAGACTGCAAAAGTTGAGCAATGTTCAACTTTTGAAGCTTCTCAAGCTTTCGTTGGAAGCGTCAGCCAATCAAATCATATGCCAGTACAAGCTCTAGCCAATCAAACCGCTGCTTGTGTGTCAGGGGCGGGAGATTCATGTGATTGGTTGTTGGTCGAGCTTCAGACACGCCCGCCGGCAAGCTTTTTTTGAAGCTGTAGTGTGGACGAGCCGTAACAGTACACTGAGGTAAATAAGAATAACCATGGTAATAGATTCAGCACAATATTTTTACTGATGGCCACATGCTTTAAAAATATTCAACCAAACATACTTTTAATTAATACATAATTTAAAATTTATTTATTTGGTTTGGTGGAGGTTCAGTCTTTGTACTGCATGGGGACGGATGAAATAAGTACAAAAAGGACAAAATGTCAAACAAATGATCATTGTTATGGTTCTGTTGAGCTTTTGCTTGAGATGTAAAGATTTGGTCACTTGTTTTTCCCGTTCTAACGAGAAGCCACATTCATTTTGTGACTGTAATCAGAGCAACAATGATTATAAACAGCTTCGTTATGTTGTAACTTGTTTTATTTAAGGCAGTAAAACATTTGTTTATTTGATTCTTGATAGAAGTTAAAAGGTACAATGTTTCACTGGAAATGCTTTTATTTTGAAGTGCAAGTATGTGTCCTTCTATGACACCTTCCTGTTGTTATGAAAATTGAATACGAGCATGTCGAGTGCGTTTTCTCTGTCTTCCACCGTTCTTGTTGGAAACTGTTTAATGAATATAAAGTAAAAGTTCAGTTTGGATAATTCTATTACACAGCAGGTTATTAGTTAAACATCAATGGTTTTAAACATGGAACAACCAATGGTCTTTAAAGTTTAGAACTGTGAAATAATCATCTAGCTATAGTTTGTTAGCATGCTAACTTTTAATATAGCACTAAACAGAAGCTGATAAAACCATATATTGAACAAATCAGAGGAAAGTCAAGAGGAAGGATTCTTTAGGTTCAAGGTTCAAGGGCTACAGTGTCCCAAGCTCCTCAAGGTCCATGAATGTCTGGACCATGTTTTATGGCCAATTCAATGCACAATGTATCTGTGGCAAATATATAATTGGGTTGAATGCATTGCCATTTACAGCAAGAAATTATAATTATCGTTTTTGTTCTGATAAAATAATCTAGGCCAAGTTTGATAGCGCAGAGCCTTGTTTAAAGTTTGAAACCCGTTTTCTGCTTTGGGATCTTTGCCTGTCTCTGTTCTCTGTGGCGGCGTTTGTTTGCAAAGAGGCGAGACTAAGCTCTTCACACATACAGAGCAGACAGCTGAGAGAATGAAATAGACTTTGGGTGTTATCCAAAAGAGCAACAAACAATGATGAGGAAAGGGGTAACAATGCCCCAGGGATGTTGGCCTGTTTATTTTGTAAAGATCTGTGTCCTGTCTAAACAGCGGTGTCCAATGTCTTTATTCAACAGTAGTTATTCTAATGGATTTTGTAGCCTATGGATGAATGTCTAAAAAAATGTAAAAGGTCTGGCTTTAATTAGTCTTCACATTAAAGGTCCCATGTCATGCTTTTCCGGTTATTACCCGTCCCCTTGTGTGTTATGAAGCTTTGTAGCCTATGCATGTAAACGGTCTGCAGAGTCACAAACCCTCAAAGTACACCCTGTAGCGAGTAAAACTCTAACACAGAACGCCTCGTTGGAGATTAGTCTTTTATATTTTTTTCTTTCGGGAACCAAGTGACGCCGACCCCATGGACCAATTAGTCCAAATGGACCAATCCGCAGAGCCGTTACGTTACGTCCACGGAGTCGTTACGTTACGTCCGTGGAGCCATTACTTCCTCACACACACACACTCAATCTTTTCTCAGCCGCGGCTCCGCCGATTTCTCCTCCCTGAGACGGCGGGACGCGGCGAGGCTGTGAGTCGGTGTGTGAGCACACACACACAAACTTCCAGCCAGGCTGCAGGTGTGTGTGTGCGTGTGTGTGTGTGTGTGTTTTTTCGGGCTGGGTTTCACTGTCTCGCAGACGGCCACTGGGCTCATAGGGAGGGGGGGGGAAGGGGCCGTTTAGGACAGAGAGTGAATACACATACTATACAGAGATGCTGTATGAGAAACCAATGTGAGTTTGGAAAATTGCACAATTTAAATGTATTTTAGTAGACCTCAACAATGGAATTATGATCACTAGAAATGGCCATGACATGGGACCTTTAAAATACATACAGTACAATAGACCTAGGATATTACAAATGAATGTACACTAAACCTTATTCCAATGTAGGGTGAAAGCACTCTGAACATTGGAAGGCCATGGTTTTTTGCTTTTGGTATTGAATTGGTAACCTTTACCATATTAATAATGCAGATCATTTTCAATTATTACCATCAGTCCTGAATTTAATGGATCTCTTGTCTGGAGGAGGACCAATCAACCAGCTCACAGACTGACTTTGCACAGAGCTAAGTCACTAGCACGGCTACAAAGCCTCTCTGGTACATTCTTTGTTGGTTCTGATTACAAGTCATCCACCCGGCTGCATGGGAAGCTCCTGCAATTCCAAAAATGTAACACTAAACTGTTTCGCAGATGGAGATAAATAGCCTTTTGAGCGCAGATCATGCATTGGCCTTTTGGAACAATGTCTGTGCTTACCCTGGTGTGATCCATCTTCATCCCTTAGTTGTGTCTCATATCAAATGTTTTCCCATCCCGCCAAGAAGGTCACGCTCTGTCTGCTGGCCCTCTGCATGCCTCGGACCCTTGACCTCAAACTTGGCCATGGCATTCTTTCCTCCCTCCTCTCTTCTCAGTTCACGTACACAGCTGGGTAGGTTGGTTGGTGGCCATGACATTAACCTGTTAAGCCCTGAGCCTGTTTTTCAGGTCTCAGCCTCGAAAATGACATGCCCAGAACAAATGACTATATCTTTACTTCTAAAAGGGGTAAATTAATAATCTTTTTTCTCAAAGCAATGATACACCTGCAAGTTGGATGTAGAAAAGTCAGAATCAATATAGATGTTTTTATTTAAGAGTAAATTCAGATTGAACATAGTAAAACAAATGTTATTATAGTTTCCGTCCAAAAATAAACCATTACTAGTATCTGTTACTTTAGATGAAAATAAGGAGCCCCTCCCCACGCCCCTCTGAGAGACATTTGGTTACAAAGAACTCGATGGTGCTCTAGGAGGAGATTCAGGTGATAAGGTGGGGGGGGGGTTACCTTGGCTGCTGATTGGCTAATGGTTACACAAGCCAAAACATCGTTATGACATCATAAAGTGGCCAAAATCTGATCAGCTCATTTTCAGACAGGTTTTTATAGAAATGGATCAGGACAAAAAGACAGAGAATCTTTGTTCCTGAAACTTTCAGAGTCTCTTTACACAGAGGGGACACATGTTGATGTAGAAGAGACATGAAAAAGTGTATTTTGCATAATAGGTGACCTTTAATGTATCCACTGAGGTCCGTTGAGAACTTACTCTTCTTTTGCTTTCCGGCCAATAATGTTGGGTGTAAAGGTTTTCTAAAAATGTAAAAGAAAAACGTACATCAGTATTGGAACAAGGAGCAAGAACCTGAAGGCCGATAATCTCTAACAGTGAGGCGAGGGCATTACCTTCTTCACTCCCCCCAGGGTGAGGTCTCTGGAGCGCATTGAGGGGAGGCGGCCAGCAGAGAGGGCGGCGGGGGTGCGGCGGCCCATCAGGAGTCCCGTGGCGCTCCCTGCGGGGGTCGCTGGCACACGTTGACCACTGGGGTTACCTGAGCCTGACTCAGCCATCCTAAACTAGAGACATGTGGCATACAGATTAACATATTTTTACTACAATGAATGTTAACTTGTGAATAGTAGAGCTGCACAATTAATCAAAATGTCATCGCAATATGGAGAAGTGCAATATTGTTAGAAAAATATCACTCGTCACCGGCTTGAGCTTCAATATCAGGATACATCTTATTATCCTTGAAAGAATGGAAGTGGTCATCACATACAGAGCATTTGGTACAACTAGTTCCTGAACAGTGTCCTCCACATGCTTATATACAAGAGAGGGTGTTACACAGTGACAAGATGGAGGAATACCGATTCAAAGCAGTATTCAATGTTTTGTTCAGATTAGCTAAGAGTCTAAGACCCACGTCAGAAATTATCATGCGTGTCATGTATCTCCATAGAGACTGAATCATCATGTTGATCGTTTTCACATAGCTTTCATGCCTAAAACAGTCCTGATGCTCTTCTAGGTAATCAAACATCCTGTCATGTACACAGCTACATAGGGCCTTTGTTATCATGTGCTACTCTGATATTGGAAGAGTACATTCAGTATTTTCTCAACAAATATCAAAATTGCAGTAAGCAAGTGTAAGTAAATGTATATTATGAATTCCTAGAAGTTCCCTCTTATATCACTAATCATATCACAATATCAGTCAAAATAGTCGCAATAAATCATAGTTTTCAAACGTGTGCAGCTCTAGTAGTAGTAGAGTGTCCATGGGCATGATACTTAACCCCTAATTGCTCCTGTAGGCATCTTTACTGTATAGTAGTGTACTTAATTTGCTTTTGATAAAAGGTGTCAGCCAAATACCATGAAGTGTAATGTAATGTTTATGAACTGGTAGAATTATACTGCAGAATAGACTGCATTGAAGTGTTTAACCAAACGTGTTATGGGATTTTTTTGTCTTTGTTATTATTGATTTTTTTAAAAGAAGAATGCCTTTAAACAGTCACTGCTACACATAATTAATCAAGTTTATATTTAGAGCATAGATAAGATTGACTTAACAGTGCTATACTCAAATAACCTACATATGCTGTCAAATTAATCTTTTCGGGTTCATTATTGTATCTTTTCTACAGTATTTAAATTAAGCAGTGTTTCTGAAAGGGGACACCAATCTTTTTTTTTTTTTTTTAAATGGGCCACTGCTCTTTCAGCACAACAGCGCTTTGAATTTAGTGACACAAACAACTGACATACATTTTAAGTGCACAAACAATGACAGCCTTTTATTTGATCATGACTGTGAGATGAAATATTTAATGTTATTGCGTCAACGGCAAGAAAATCAGCAACACGTGGCCAAATTAAAACACGAATACAGGCATACAGTGGATGTTAGTGCCCCTAAACTATGTCAATAATGGCTCTGGACACACACTGCTTCTCCATATACTTACACTATGGTTCCTCCAATGTCCTTTTTATATGTTCAAGGGTTCAAGTCCACACTTTAGGAGAAGAAGCAATAAGAGTTGCTTGGTGCTAGTGTTGCTTCTGACAATGCATGACGCACGGCGCCATGACACTTCCGCAGTGTTGTCACTGAGTGAGTGCACGTGGATCAGTCCTGCGCAGAAACACCGCAAATACGCATTAAATCGGAATAAATCGTCGGAGGGATCATTTTAAGAATGATCTTGTCTTTGAATTGACTTTATATAGCTTATACATATGTATTAGGCGTTTATAGTACATCAATAATATGCACAGACAGTCATTGTAAAACGTGCAACTGATTTTTACTTTATCTATTTCTAAAGTCTTATTTGTGGTGATCTCCAACACTCGAGAGTAACACAGCTTTGTTTTAGTAATTATAGCAATTTACACAAATGATTAAATAACGGCTCTGTCTTTTAATTTAATACATTTAATAGCCTACTATACATGTTTTTAAAGGTTAAAAAACACCATTCAGTTTGGGATCAAATATATGTTTAAAAAGAGAATTGTCTTCTACAATAGCAAGCCCACATTTATGTAAAATTATTAATGTGTAACTTCTGTGAAAAATGTTATAATTGTAAATTACTTTTGTTAATGTTTACCAAGAAACTCATCCAAGGAAAATTATGTCCGTAAACATTAAGTCAGCATTATGTAACTGGCTTTATTTGTGCATAACTTGGTGCAAATATGATGCTTAATCTTCTGTAAAGTGGAAGTTGTTCTAGTATTGTGTCCCGCTGATGAACAACAATGAGAAATAAATCCCTGCTCCGGGCTGCCTCTGACTATTTTGGCACTCCTGACCAGACATCCACTCCAACCGTGCCTATAATGCCTGGGCCCATTGGGGCTTTGTGTCTTTTAAGGACATTACAAATGTAAATGGAGCCATGCTCTCTCTCCATCAGACGCACAGCGAACTTGCAAACTGCCTATCCCCATGCAGCTCTGGAGCTGAGAGGGTCGTTTGGACACAGGCAGACTGTCATGGCTTGATTAATGATGGAAGATTGCACTTTAATTACACTCGGAGGGTATTGCTTTTCTGCCACTGGCTGGGACTAAATGAAGCTCTTCAATATCACACACAGCCCGTGGAATTATGGCAATACATCCTTGTCAAAACAAATATGATGTTTTTGTGAATGGACTCCACTCACCTTCAGATTATCCCTTTGTTATCTGTCTCTATTCTATCCCCATGTCCATTGTTTTAACAGCAGATTATACACTAATCTGGAAAGGGTCTAATCTCTTCTGAAATCCTAAATGAAGTTGTCCCCGTGAGGTTGAATCGGTACGAAAACATCCCACTGAAAATGAAAGGAAATCTGCTTACTCTGGACTTACACAGTGGCATCCCTTGCCTCCGGATGTGATGGGGGGAGATGTCCTGTGGAGTTAGTCCATATGGCATAACAGTTGGCACACATACATTTTTTTGAGATCTTTCTGGAGCACTATGTAATTTCCTGGGACATCACTCAGCATAATCTCTTTTAAACACGCAGTAGCCATTGGAGCGTGTAAAAAATTGGTTCATGTTTTTTTTCTGTCAAAACTGTCCCCATATCTGAAAAGTGACATTTATGCAAGTGTGAGTTCATATTAGTGTGTGGTTGTATGTATGTGTGTGTGTGTGTGTGTGTGTGTGTGTGTGTGTGTGTGTGTGTGTGTGTGTGTGTGTGTGTGTGTGTGTGTGTGTGTGTATTTTGAGCCTCAAGGCTGGCTTACTGCAGACTGATGTGTTGTGTATGACTGGCACGATGCTGACGAGTTCGACTGAGTGTCTCACTGTGGTCACACTCCAGTTGGAATACTCTCATCTATTGCTTCGCTTAGGCTTTAATTCATCCGGCGTGGCTGCAAATAGGAACCAAGTAAACATCATCCTCAAGAGCCCAGAGCGAAAACGAGACCGGGAGGAGGGGGAGTGAGAGAGGGAGGTGGGGAGGGGAGGAGGTTAGAGTGTTTGTGTGTGACACACAGAGTGAGAGGGAAACAGGCTGAGAGAGAAGCTAGTGTGTTCGTTTCACCTCCTAATCAGTTTTCCTGGGAGATCTATCATCGACTGCAGCAGAGGAGGCAAGAAGAAAAGAAGACAGATTTCTGCCTGGCTGTAATCTTCTCCCATCACTAATTTGAGCCTCATACAAGTAAGGAATTCCTCTAAATCAGTACTTATAGATGCGTGTAGTGCTCTCAAAATAGATCTATTATTCTCTACTCCCAGTGTATGAAGTTGTGTACATCAGTAGTTCATTTGTGCATCACTCAGGGGTATTAATAGACATTAAGTCAGAAGAATGCAGTGGTTGTGGTGTTTGTGCATGAGTTTTATATCCATTAATGCACACATGCTTTTCTTTAATGACATTTATTGTGAACGTTGTACATTTGTTACACCCCATCTCATACAAGGCTGTGTGGATATTTCAAGCAGCAGCATTGACTGATTCATGTCATTTTTAAATGTTAATGCTTGGTTTAATTGTGCAAGGGGGGGTACAGCGCCTGAAATTGTATTAGTCACACAATATCTGAGTTTGAAAGCTTTCTTAATTAACTTCACATCATATTGCTCAGTGTTTCATTCTCTGTAGTTTCCATTTCACCCCCTTTAGTTAATAACTGGAGAAAATTGAGCTCTTCCTTTCTCCCATCTAAATGAGTAAATAACTCCTTGGAGAAAAATAAATGACTTTGAAGCGTTCGGTGCCCTGCTCAATATGCATGAATGCAGCAGCTTCTTTTATGAGGCTGTCTCAAAGAGATAACAGCTAGTTTTCAGCGAGTGTGAGGTTCTGACTGAGCTCTAACAGCAAAACGAACACAGCAATCAGAGCTGCAGCAGAGATAATTGGCTCACAAGTGTTTATGGCTGATTTATAAACCAGGGCAATGGGATTGTGTGTGAATGATATGGAAACCTGCGTTTGAACTGTGTGCACATGTGTTGGATGTAAAAGTGGCACACATACAGAGACATGGGGGCTTTGAGGACTTGTCCTAGAATCTCATCTTGCCCCAGTTCTGTGGAAAATACACCCTGGTTAGAAACGAGAACAGCAGCTGGAAAGCTAACGCGTGAACACACGTGCGTGATGCCACTGCTCTCTGCTCTGGTCCCTGTGTGAACGAGCTGCTGCACACATTTCACAGTTCACAGGCTTTAATGAGCTCCTGCAGCCTGTCCATCAAACACCTTAGAAGACCTCAAAGTCAGACAATGACACAGCGGCAGGCATCTGTAAGACGACACAGGCAACACAAAAAAAGATTGTACAAAGGGTTATTTTTAGGCACATTTGTGATTTAGCATATGCTCAGGAAGATAACAACAATGAGCTGGTTGTGAAATGCTGGAGAAAAAAGGAGTTTTTTTACTACTAGTAGTCAGCAAGGAGGAGCTTATGATAACACATTTAAGATGGATGCAAATTACAAGCAAACTACGCAGGAAGGAATGTGTACTAAGGCTAAGGGCAAGAAAAAATGACCATTGTGCACATGTTGCAGAGATTGAACTCCAGTTTATGAGAGGGATGGTGACAGCTAATCAAACGCAGGCGCACACAGGCCGACCAACAATTTGCACCCAGTGTGAGACTCAAGGCTATGTGCAGCAGCCTGGATCGCTACACTGATGGGCAACTAAAGGAAATATGATCATAAATCACCTGCTGCTGTTCCCTACTTAAGCCTCCCCTGTTTCTGCCATAACATTATAAAAGCTGGTAGATTTCCCTCGAGCTGCAAGGACTTCACTTCACTCAGCTGTTTTGGGGGAGTGCACTTCAGTCAGGAGGCATAAGTGTTTAAAAAGCGACCCTCAGTTTAAATTGTAGCCGACAGGTGCAGCGGTGTTTTTGTATGTGACCCCCTTCCCTGAGAATCACAGGAGAAGATTGAGGGAGGCTGAGGACGCCTGGTTGCTCGGAGACTGCTGTAGATGGATTGTGAAACGCACAGGAGAGAGCAGAGGCCAGTCAATCAGCCGCGAGCATATCGAGTTGTGTAATAATGGGAAATGTCAGTTGACTGCGAGGAGAAGGGGAAAGGAGCAGGGGGAAAAGAGCAGGACAGTGAATAAATAATCAAGACACAGATCCCTAAATGAAAGGTTAATTGGATTCTGTCTGAGGGAAATTCAGATGTGCTGTTTCTGTCCAGCATGTAACTCTAAGTGATGTGTTTTAATCTCTTTAAGCAGATGTTGTCCAGCACGGGTATTACAGTGATTATCCTCTGGTCCTTTTTATCTCTCCGGTTTTAAAGGCAGATAACAAAAATGGACGCTGCTCTCGCAACACCCTGCAATATCCAGATTTGTGAGGTGACCTGTGACTCCTTCCGCATCATGTGGGACATAACCCCCGAGGACAGTGCCAGGTCAACACACTTCTTCATCGACCTCAGCCGCAAAGAGAGCCGGGACCCCAACCGCTTCAAACACAGGGTCTGACCTTATGTACCTTCCTCCGTCCTTTCCATGTCAATCCAATCAATGTGTGTCCTGCTAAGCTGTGTACATTCATATTTCAGATTCACATTAATCCATTTGTATAGGATTGGTGGTGGAAGGCTTCCTTGAAGGCTCACTGTATGCCCTTTGGTCCAAATGTCCATTTTGTAGAGGTCTAGCTGGGTTAACAGATGGGTCTAACTGCCTTACGATATTCTGCATTAGTGTGAACACAGAAAACAGCACTTGTGCCCTTTGAGTCACTTCCAATACAGGCGAAAAAGAAAATATGTGCAGTCAACAGCTTCGGGCCAATGACTCATATTGCTTCCTTTTAAAGTGGACAAAAACTGACAAATTCCTCTCCAGCACCGAAGAGTTTTCATGCTAAAAAAGCACCACAGACATGAGGCAGCAATGTAATGGCTTGTCTCTTTACACAAACATTTGTCTGTTCACTTCAAGCAGTGAATTCTATTAGTTCAGCATTCAGTGCTATTCTTCCCCACATCTCTAACATAGGCCTAAAACATATATTTTCATGGGATTTGCACATGTTAAAAATGTAATTTTAAGCAAATGTGTTCTGTTTGTTGGTTGGGTACTTGGTCCATAACTTTGGTCCACATAA